TGGCAGCTGATGCCTCTAATTTTGGTGTCGGTGGCGTCATTCTACACGTCTTTCCAGACGGATCGGAGAGGGCCATTATGCACTCGTCGAAATCACTAACCCCAGCAGAACAGCGATACGCACAGATAGAGAAAGAAGCGTTGGCCTTAGTGTTCGCGGTTCGGCGTTTCCACAAAATGTTGTATGGCCGCCGTTTCACCCTACTTACCGATCATAAACGATTGCTCTCCATTTTCGGCTCAAGGAAAGGTGTTCCCGTACACTCTGCCAACCGCCTGCAAAGATGGGCCCTGATTATGCTGGGTTATGACTTCGATATTCAATATCGACGCACCACCGACTTCGGTCAGGCCGATGCATTATCTCGGCTGATCAACAACCACCCAACACCCGAAGAAGACACGGTTATTGCGCATGTTGCATTTGAGGACCCAGCCGACCCACAGTTGGTCCAGTCCGTTCGTGCCCTGCCCGTGACAGTAACAGAGGTTCAAAGAGCTACCACAGCTGATGGAACGCTTCACTTACTAACCAGCAGCACAAGTAAAACCATATAACAGGGGTCTGAACAGTTAGAAGACCCATATTCGGTGCATAATTGTCCTGTCATGGGCGTGGCAGATCTTTGAAGCCCAGTTAGAATTCGGTGCCTCGGAAAGAGCTGAAGTGTCGCTAATTCATGTTAATGGGCAGAGAGGAATGCGGTAATACTTAGGCAGGTGTTCCCATTTCACAAGGTAGAACACACCTGGCTCGAAGGAATAAGAAAACATGGTATGCCAGTATGCCAGTGTGAAGTATTCACGCCTATTCCCTAAGAAATACATGAACCCCTAATCAGAGAAGATAATAACTTTGGGTGACAAGGGACTCTGAACGGTGTCATCTGCTTAAGTATTATCGAAAAAATCAAAATCCCTTTAGAGAGCGCTGACGCGATTGGTCGAAAACGGTTCCTCGAAAGGAGTACAAACTTCAAACGGTGTCTTAATCTGGTTACTGTCTGCGAAATAGTGCATTTTTAATAGTGTATGGGAGGAGGCTGGTGACTTGGTTACGAATTCGTCCTATCCAATTCTACCAATGATGCAGACACCCGTTTTGTGAATGCACCAACAGAAATTTGATAAGAGCGACCAGAAGCAAGTCATTGTAGTGTCAGTAATCTAGATATGGAAAACCAAATTGTCAAAAAAAACCAAACGAACCGGTGACACCATAAAATTATCATGCATTCAACCACTGATAAACACAAACGGGAGACCAGCATTATCAGTGAGATTTTGAGAACCTTCGATTTTGACCCTTCTGCAGAAAAAAAACCGACTTCAATGACTGCAAGGTGACAGCACCTGCAGCCATGACGTCCGAGATTGACACTGGCAATGAGCGAATAGTTATGAAGTCATGGCATACGGATGATTGATACGTTACTAACATACATACATAACATACTACGGTCGTCCGTAGAATGAATTCGCGGGGAAGTAAATCAAACCTTACCGCCGATTCGCAAATCGAAAATGCACGTATTGAACCCCAAGGCAGAAAAACAGCCCATCGTCGTCGAGGCATGGTGTGCCCGTTGACTAACAACAATTATTGAGAGTGATAGGGCCAAAAATAAGAATAAATAACTAACTGTGACGACTAGCCACTTCTGTGTTTGAGTTTTCGTTAACGTGAGTATTGTATCGATTGTATTATGTCGATTGCTTCGCTGGTTGTTGAAACAGAATTGCTGATGGTTTCGGGACAGGCTAGCAGGTTACCTTGGGGTGAACTCATGATCCAATTAGCTGGTCGCTGTGAGAGGGATGACTGGCGGTTTGGAGAAACCGATGTCAGTGCAGAGTTCAAGCAAATGTGTGCCGTCATGTTTGGTAAACTGGGCTTAATGTGGGGCTCCTAGATAAGAGCAGGGGAACCTAGCTCGGCAGTACAAATTTTTGCTGCTTCTTGGGATGATCCATACGCTTAAGTAGACAAGAAGAGAGGTTTTGTGTGCTTCGGTATCCAACAGGAATACTTGTCTTATAATAAATGGACTTGATGTGGAATTTATGCAAACTGTAGTTGTGGGACGTCAAAATAATGACTGAACAGCCTTCAATCGAGGAGTGAATTAGTTTTCATCTTTCTGAAATGTTCACTCCTCGGTAGGAGATTACTGTATGCCCAGAGAAATCTGCCTTACAGCGAAGACTCAATTAGGAACATCCTACATTTCTATTTTGCTAATAGTCATGTTTCTTTAAAAAACGAAACCAAGATTGAAAAGTCCTGACCACAAGCTACACAGTTTTTACGGGGAACGTCACACACAATCACTACCAAGTTATGAAAACATGCCATATTGAAAGCATGAACAGTGACTGAGGTCACAGTTGTGAATTCACATGTGTTTGCTTCTTCCTGCAGCTGAGCCTTACTCAACACACTCAATCCTTCTCATCCATTTCCTTGCAGGCCATCCCGCCACAAAGGTGAAATACGAAATTCCTTATCCCATTCAACTACTCTACCAATGGTTGAGGTGCTACATTTCACTGCTGGAGGTGATAGGTTCAGGTGACCAAACCTAGTTCGGACATTTGCACACGGATCGATGTAATCATCCATCTTCGCCTTTTTATTGTACACCATTCGTCCAATTCGTTGGCAGCAATAAGAAGAAGCAATCGTTTGAAAAAATCAGATTGTATTGACTAAAAAATGCATTCAAGCAAATTTCCGATAACAGTAACGGGAGTGGTAGTAAGACGGCGAAATGCTGAGCAAATCATGAAATATAAGAGAAGTTCGAAAGAAAATTTCATTCGTCGCAAAATTGGTTTGCACTGGGTTTAGAATCATGTAAAAAGTCAAGTCTCGGTTAAAATATGTACAGCTGAGTAATAATGAGGATAATAGATCTATGGAACATGCAATGATTCGGCACACCGGAATCTTCCGCGCTTGGCCTATGATCGTTCCCAGGCGTGAACCGGCAGGCCGAATCCGGGGTAGGTTAGGTGGGTACGGGGCGCAGCCGGCACCCCAAGACAATCGCTACGTCAATCCGATGGCGGATGCTATTGCCACGATGAGAAACACGCCCAGAATAATGAGTATGATAATGCAGATCAACTTGCGCTGTAAAACAAAGCAAAATAAGCATGACCTTAGAAGTTGGCAATGGCGGACAACTTCTGGATGAGTATCACGAAAAGGAAATAGTAGCACCCTAAAACTAACGGAAGCGTGGCATTTGAAGGAGACAATTGACCTGCAGCCTTAACGGTATAAATCCCTGAAAATTTATTTGGCAATCCTCCACAGAATGATTACAAATATTAAGTGGTCTTTGAGCTGTACCACCCTTTCGGTGCCTAGCTACCAGGCCAGCTGAAGGAAACAATAGGGCTGAGATACTGCCATGCTGTCTAGGACTAGAAGGAGCAGCGAGATGCAGGGGTGGAGGTCAAACCACGAAACTTCCGATCAAGTTACTATTAGGAAATCTTGAAGAGCAGGAACAAGGAAGTTGAAAGAGAAAGAGAAGCGGGGTCAGCCATAGAACATTTCAGCTTACCGGCCCTGCTTTATGTAGCAACTAATACTGTCCGGCTGACGAAACCACGCGACATACTGAGCCTTTGAGACAGTTGAATCCGCCAAACCACTCTAAAATACCGCGATCTCAAAACAATCAGGTGTTATTCTGAAGAGCCAGAACGGCAAACTACCCCCCCCCACAGAAGTTCAGGCACATCACGAATCACCCAGCTCACCAAGCTTTGCAGAGCTCCATGAGTGACTCGAAAATGCTTGAAATATGGAACAATAGTGAATAGTTATCGGAAGGTATGGAAAAACGTAAATAAAGTTGGATAGAGAGGCTAAACTCACATATCATCACAAAACTTGCTGAATGAAGTCGATTACAACCCGGATAAAAATGATACAAAAATCAGTCGACCGGAGAGTTCGTAATTTGAGTCCCCTAAGCATACTGAGATTTCTGTCAAAACTGGACAAATGTACAAGTAGCTACAATTACTACAGAAAGGAGATTCCATCCATGAAGATTTCATAAGCTGTCAGTCTATGCTGAAAAACCGAGAAGCACTGTACAGCTGTTTCATCGTGGAAAGAAAAACCAACAATTTGCATCCAAAAAATCACTGAAGAAATCGAACCCTGGACCCCTCAGCTAATAATAATAATAATAATAATAATAATAATAATAATAATAATAAGTTTTCACGAGAGACTCAACTGAATCTCTCGCTGATGAGCCCCAAGAAGGGTAAAACCAGTCGTGCGCTGTCGAAGAGTTTTCAGCGACCTTGTGAGTAGTTTCTTCTATGAAAATAATAATAATAGTAGTAGGTAATCTGCTCAGGAAAGAAACGATCTTGCAAATGCAACAGTCTCCCATCCGAGAAGTTGCCCCCCAAAGAGCCGGTCAACAGATGACCAGCTGTAATAACGGTGATGCCTCAGCTTCGTTTTAGGTCTGAACCTTCCAAGCTAGCGTTCTCGTCAAAAGAACCACTAAAGGTGCACGAGTATTAACGCCTAAAAGCAGGTCAAAACAGCGCGTCGCATATGAAGCATATGCGAGGACAACGTTCTGGAAATTCCGACGCCTTCCAGATGCGTAATTAGTAACCAGCGTTCGGCGAATACTATATCATGGTTGGTTGTTGGGGGTCGACTTTCGCCCTGATGCCTGAACGCCAAGCGGTCCGATCTTTTGGCCATTCGCGTGCGGGATAGGCTTCCTGACCGTAGCAGCGTCTAACTGTGAGTGGTTAAGCGGAATCGGTGTGGAATTCCACCTAACACTAGCTGAAGGGAAGAATGTGACCGGAAAATAAGCGGAGCAAGATCTATCTGGGTGTGAGTCGATCACATTGTTTGTCAGCTTCAGGCACTAATCGAGAGCTCAAAGATTCAAGCCTCCTTAGAAGCTCATGAGATGTCTACTGGCGATGATGTCCAACGAGGACGAAACAGCTATGCAGTGTCTCTCAGTTTTTTTAGCATTGACTGACCGTACTTTCTGGGTGACATCACTAAAAAACTTTCAAGCATATACTAACACCAACTAGTCAAGCTTAGATGTCATTTTGGCTACATCCAGGGCAATTTACTGGAAGCTTGAGATGCACTGCTGTGTTGAATTCCATCGGTTAGAAAACTAAGCTAAATTTTAACAAAACATGTGGTAACACTGGAACGAAACAGAGGAGGTGGGCATATGTGGGCCAAATGGTTCTGAATCCTCTAAAGTTGGCTCTAAATAAAAGCAGATCGGTGAGATCTGTGCAGTGTGCGAAGTCGCCTTTAGTGATTTTGTGACGGATAAACAGGAAAAAACGCCTTGCCTGGCCGTGTCCTAACGTGACTAGTTGTGAGGTATGGGATAACTGGCTCGCACAGCACAATTACACGTTGGTGCATGGAACCAAACGAGGAAGTAAACAACTTGCCCGGATCGGATTACGTTTACGCTAGTCTAACGACATTATTCATCAAAAAGAATCATGACCCGTTATTCAGTGACCAATGAAGTTCATTAAATTCGGGGTCGAAACAGATCATAGTACGGTGACAGCCGTGGCTTCAAAAGTTAGATAAAAGAGGGAAGGGTTACATGATGAAAGCTCTATAGTTTCCTAAATAAATGTTTGGTGTTTCTTTCAGACATTCACTTCCAAACGACCACCTATACAGAAAAATAAGTGGTACACGGGGGCGTAACGACGGAAACAGGTATGTTGACTGTGATACAACCAGGTCCATTGTTGTTACCAACAATGTGTGCTTAGCAAAACAACCGAACAGTGAATCAATGAGACCGCCTACACTGAGTGTTTCGGAAACAACCTAAAAACAGTTCAACTGAACACTGTCAATCTGGAAACAGTGAAGCCATTCTCCGCGGTGGATTCAATCGCAGCATTCTCACCCTTTGTTTTCCACTAAGGCGGGAAGGTTCCAAGGTTGAGGAACGACCTTAAAACTCGTAGTTCGGAACCACTATTGACCCCGTGTGGATGTGAGCAACCTGACGGAATATCACTTTTTGGCAGTCGCACTCCAGCTACGCACAGAAATAACACCAAGCCGCGCTTGATTGACTTCCGGAGTTTCACCTATCAAATTTCAAGTAGGTACCAACTATGGGATCGGTGGTCAATGAGAACGTCGTTGCTGAGTCAGGAAGAAAAGCTAACCAAGCACAAACAGATCAGTAACCACACACAATCAACCGAATTGCTGAGCACCTAATGCACGAGCAAATAACGATTCAGGCCGTGAGTTGCCTTAATGACTGAACGATCCGCCAAAGATACGAGAACCTGACTTCACATCAGCTGATGTGAACAATGCTACAAACTTAACCGTTCCCATTATTTTGTGCCTCTGAACTGTCCCATTGCTCAACTGGTCTACGAAATTCCCACATCAGACGACAACCCAATTTAAGCGTGGTTTTGGATCCAAAGTTGGGTTCTCACGAAGCATAGGTATCAGAATACTTGTGACTATCCTACTAACATGTGGGAAGCTGCGCATTACAAATACACCTAGTATGAACGGAAAGATACTTGGAGCAGAATTTACTGAGAAACAGGGCCGTGTCTTTTCGCCCATACTACGTGGACGTGGATTTTACAGCTTCAGGGCTTACTAAATCTCCTTCTATTCTGTGCCTTTCCGTCAGTTATGTCCTCCACTGAGACGTTTGCCACTAAAATCCGGGAGAAGATGATAGGTAACCAGTATCGCATCGACCTTTCATTAGAACCTTTCACCAGTCACGCACAAAAGTGATAAATGCCGGTTCCACTGAGAATAACGATATGATTGATAGAATGGCCTAGATGTGGTCGAACTAGTTAGGCAACGACGGAGAACATCATGCTGTACACGTAAATCTTAGTTGAAGTAAGTGAAGCTGAAATCGAAGAATGAAAACTAAACATACGCCAGGGGTTACTGACCTCATTACAGTATGTGCATGGCCTAATTCCTGCTAACTACTGATCAAAGTGGAAAGAGTCTAACATTTAGTCCTGGACGAAGAGCACGAGAAAGGTGCGAAGATTGAGATATCGCGTTTTGATGTCCGAGGACAAAAATGATCATCCTTTAACGGAAAACAACCAGTAGTGTGGACAAACGACATCCTCGAGACTTATACCACAGGTAAAACGCACCACCACCAGATGACAGGTGATACCTCAGAAGATCGAAAGTAAACAAACCTTGCGGTTTTTCGATTGCCTTGTGACTGCAGTGTTCAAACATCGATTGGCGTTTTCAACGGCATTGGTCGTTTTGGACACATGAAACTCGATTCGGTCAATCAATTCACCCTGCGTGGAACAAATCACAAGGGCGAAATAATGAGCTATGTGCTGGAAGGGCAAATGGGTGAAGTAAGAAAGATATAGAAAATGGGGTAAAAGCAAGACAACGCCTCGTAATCACACCATACTCCCGTTAAATTGGCATCCGGTATAGGTGCGACCTTTGATACCAACGCCTGAAGTATCCAAAAAAAATCCTTTGCAAACAATCGGCTGTACTCGAGAAATACACTCATCTGCAAATCAATTTGGTTTTCACGGGAGACTCAATTGAATCTCTCGTTTATGATGTTCTCCAGCTGAATGTGCTGCACACAGGCCGCCTCATGATTCAGTTGGCACGATATTCGAGATATCGAAGTATATCTCTTTTCATAAAGGAAACTACTCACAAGGTTGCTGAAACTCTTTGACAGCCCACGACCGGTTTCGCCCTTCTTGGGGCTCATCAGGTAGGCGCAGTCCCCGAGTTTCCGTCAACCTGATGATCTACTTGAACCCGAATTGCACTGTTTTCGAGGACTATACTCATTTGCAAATGCAACCTTGTAGTAGTTTCCTTTATGAAAAAATCGGCTGTACTGTTTTTTTCCGCATCGCGCAATCCAATATCTGACTCTCTAGGGTCTACACAGCACAAACCAGTGGTTTTGAGCCAGAGAGCACTGATCCAGCAACATTCTGGATTAAAACTACCGCTAGGAGGGAGACCCCCCTTTGGAAATGGAGGGCGTACTGTATTCTTGGACAGTCAAATCCTAACACACTCAGTACCGTGGGTCAATAAGTTCCATCTAGATATTGTTGACTGTGGTACACACACTGTACCATGTAACATCCGTGACATCAAAGAGGACCAACGGCTGGCAGTTACTGGAAGCGAATCGGTCGTAGATGTGGTGCGTGATTGCTCCTGTGCTGGCCTAGGACGCATCCTCTGCGAACGCACAAAGATAATTCATGTCGGTACTTTAATGTGGGGTAAAAATTTTGCTTTCAAAAACTCTACAAGTGAATATGAAGATACCGGGCAAATTATTCGTTTGATTCAACAGGTAAGCTGCAACTGGAAAACTTGGAATGACACTCATCAAAGAGTAGCATTAACAACGCAAAACCGGGTTTGAAGTGGCTTGTACTTCCAAACAACATTCTTTTTGTCCCGCGGACTTCTCACCCGAGCGGCCACACACCATTTTGTTCCAAAAACATACTGATATATTTTTTGCTACTTGCAGCGCACTTTCTAGGCTTCCAAAATGTTTTTCTAAATCCTAGTCTTGGTTACTTTGAGAAGCCGCTGAAATGTGTGTAGAGGGCAGTAGATATCAAGAATACAACCGATCAAATGCTCGGTAGGCAACTGTGTCAGGGCTGACTTCCGACCACTGAATAACAAGATTCCATGTTTCTTCAGTGTCAAGTGATTCCATTAGCTTCTGTGCAGGAAGTATGTCTAAATATTGATGGAAAAGGTGAGTTTATTGGCTGTGGATCGGGTGACAGTTGACCGAGCTTGACAGCTGGCTTGCACGCACTGACAATCACTTTTCTTGGTTTATTAGTATCTGCCCACAGACACTAGCTTCCAGAACATTGCCAATTCTGTAAAACAGTATGGATCCATGCTAGCCAACGAAGGCCGTCGTTTTGATGCAGCGAAAAAAAACGAACTGCGTTCGATACACATGCACCCTCACTGCCTAGCCAACGTAGCCGAAAGCATTAAATCCGACCAAATGACGCACCGTTAAAGTAGAAGTCTAGAGAGAACGAGATATGTCCGTTGAACAGAATATCAGTAATAGGGATGATGGCGAGTAGTCTGAAAAGCTGCTGTACGACTGTAGTCACATTATCTAGATAGGAGTCATTACAAAAGTAAACTTAAGTAGGCATCGCAACGAGTGTACCACAGACATTTTCCCGGCTGATTGTTCCACTTCAGTTTCTTGGCCATCGATTACATTAGCCAAGGGGGGATAAACTAAGTAACAAAAGTAACGCTGTTATTATCGGCAACTGAGTGAAACCACCAGCAAACACTTTGAGAAAAAATTGCAACACGTTCCAGACGTGAAGAATAAAGGCCAGAACTGTCAGTTTCGAAAGGTCATACAAAACAGACCAAAGATTGCCAGTGCCTGTGTCTGACTCCATTGGCACATACACGCGCGCAGCATTTACACCCACCGAAACAAAATCTTAACATGCTAAGCTTAAATTAATTCCACTTTCTGGCATCGTTCTCAATCGCTCCAACTATTACTGTGACCCAACAGTCCGACAAGATCCTCAGGAAGGTGTAGAAAATCCGAGAATAAAATACACAAGCGTTCATCTAAAGATAATTAAAAAATTATATAAAGCATTATTCAGCACACATCATCATCACTGTCAGTTGCAATAACCGCGTACTTGTCGTACAGTGGTTGTAGCTGCCACAGTTTCGTTCACCGATAATTCGGAAAGGTGGGGTAGGTGGCTGCGCATTGGAGATGCTAGCTGATAAATTAGAGCGTGGATATAGCACTGTAGCACGCATTTTGTTGGAAGCCTGTTCATTTTCATCTTGACGTTGCGTTAATGGACGGCTCCTAGGAACATTCCCCTGTTGTCATAACGGAGGTGTGGCATTACGCTGAAACAAGTAACTACAGCCATTTCCAATTTAAACTCCATCACGCTCAGGCCTGCTGGCTGCTTGCACATTCGTCCGCGGATCCTATTCCATCGAGTCCACAACGGAAACAGGAGCCTGCATGTCATACTACATTAGACTTCGCGCAAAAAGTCTGTGACTCCCCGGCTAGCCATGGATAAAGTGTAATATAAGAACACGTCCAGGAATGATCTGAGGACGGAACAGAGGTGAAACGACTTGTGTGTTCGAATCAGGATCAAGAGGGGATTCTTCGATGTTATAATGTTGCAACGGTTCATCCAAATCTACAGGCAGTGAAGCATCAGTGTCAACACTGACGTTACTGTATATGATTATTATGACGACGATGAGGAGGAGAATGGTGATGAGGACAGGTTGGGTTAGCCTACAAAAGTTTCGGTCACTCAGTTCCCCCGGCCGTAAGTTTCAACCGTGTCAGTCCTTTTGGTGCACCGTTTCTTCACTTATCAGCTCAAGATCACTTGGTTGAACGCGACAGACAAAACCACGGGCAGCAAGAGAAGCGATTCAGGTGGTCGAGTATTCATACCAAGCAAGGTTCTCTCTTATCTACTATTCATCCGACGATTTTGGAAGGCCAAGTGATCTTGCCAGCACTCCCCTAGCGGCTGTTACACCCGAATGCCATTTAAGGCATCCTCGGGTCTTTGGTGAAAATCCTATGAGTGAATCTAGTATAGCTAGACCTTGTTTTCAAACTAAGGAAAGAACGAACGCACATACCAAGTACGAACCTCTCCGTTTTATCTGGTGCTGAGCAACACACAGTCAGATCATGGGAAGCTGAAGGACACTTAAAGATTAGGTGGGTAGTCCGAATAATAAGGGTCTGGGAATCCAGCGCGGAGAACATCAGATTCCAAGGTTTAACGACAGTAATAAGCCAGATCACCATCGATATCTCGAAACACAGCGCAACCCAATTCTTTTTCTTATCGGCACTTTGCAAATTTCATTTCATTTTGTACAGCCCACGGCAGCCTTCGCGTGGATCTGTTGCACACAACTTACAACTGTTCTGATCCGTCATGATGCGGTTTCACATTAAAGCCCTCAATGAGACCAAGCTTGAAATAGGGACTCAGTGACAGGCAGTGTGGGCACTGAACCTGGGAATTCCCGCGTTCGGGCTCACCAATGAGTCAACTTTACCCGCGGATGTTGAACAGCAAGGGGATAATGTCGTCTGTTCCTGACCAGTAAGAACTTCCAACACAAGCTCTCACACCGAGGCAACTTACCACAAGACAGCCATGGACTCAATACGACCAGGTGGCTACCAGCTACTGATGAAAAGCCTCAGTCAATAATTGTCGTTCCTTCAAGCACAACTTGATTCCGATCACGCTGTCTTGCGCGCCCGGTTAGCACTTCGCTTTCCGCCAGCATTACCAATGCCAAAAAAGAGCAGCTCCGTTCACCAACTTCCACAAGTTTCAGTAACCGAAGAGATCTGGCTAGAAGACTATTGGAAACACAGTCATATTGATGACGAAGACTGCTTGAAGGTTCAATGGAGACGAGTTAAAGAAGCTATGCTCTCAGCTTTCAGAACTGTTTGTCCAGGCCACCTGACTCGTTGAGATGAACACATGTTATTGCTATCTGGTGGGAACACCGGATCAGCAATTCTGAAGTACGTCGAATGGTATTCGGGAGAAATAACTCACCCTCGATAGATGAACTGATCACACTGCATAGGTTGCGCTGGCTTGGCCACGTGTTGCGTATGCCAGTCGACCGACTTCCTCGAAGGGCTCTTTTTGCACAACCACGTGAAGGGTGGAAGAGAGCCGGAGGCGGTCAAACAATGACTTGGCAGTGAAGTATGAAAGCAACTACCAGCAAACTCAGCTGCGCTGGTCACTGCCGTCTTCCAGGATGGGGACCCCGAGACGGGCCACATCAATGTCAGATATGGCCCAATCGCGCCCTCAATGGCGCTCGTGCATCCAATCTATTGCCTTCAATGCATAGCTCCTTTTCCAACCCCCCCCACTTGACAGCCCACTGACAGTGCTGGATTTATGCACCAATTTATCAGCTCCCGCCTGCAATACACAGCGACCTACCCCTCCCCCCCCTAAATCATTGGTGAACAAAACTGCGGCAGCTACAACCACTGTACGACGAGTACGCGGTTACTACAGCTGACAATGATGATGATGACATGTTATTGCTGCCAGAAATGCTATTGTGATAATTCATACAGATTCCTCAAACAAGGGACAAGCAGGAGCTTGAAGGATGACAGAGAACGCTGGCGAATTACGAAAGCCCAGGAGATGGAGAAGGCTTCCGCTGCAGGCAACCGCAGCGCCCTGTTTCAACTGATTCGATCAAGCGGTCAAAAGAAAGCAAGTGATAGTGAAACAATATTCGAAAACTACGGAGCGGCAATGCGCTCTATCAATCGTCGCCTTCCGCAGTGGGCTGAGCACTTCGAAAAAACAATTCACCTTGTCTCCCTTTATACGACCGCTGGAAGAACACAGCGAACATGAATGGAACATTGACACTAACCCACCATCAGCAACCGAAATCCAGCATGAGATATCAATCCTGAAATGCGGTAAGGCATGTGGACAAGACGGTCTACACCGCGCACTTTTCAAAGAAGATGGCGAGGTTCTGGTGAACAGTCTGCCGACCGTACCTGCAGAAGATTTGGAACGGAAACACTACCAGCCGAATGGAGCTCCTCGACCGCCATCCGAGCTTTCAAAAATGGCGCGAGAACGTCATGTGAAAACCATTGTAATATCAGCCTGGTATCTGTAACGTCTGGTGTGACCTCTGGCATTATGTGCGTAGGTTGATGGATTATCCGAAGTGAAATTTATATCCAAATATATATCCAAAATTTATATCCAAATTTACATCCCTTATGAGGCCACTGTGTGTGAAATCCTGTGGGCACGTACGGGAGGCTTTCGCTTAGGTTCACCACGTCCATTGGTGTTGGACAAGGCTGCCCTATTTCATCTTTCCTCTTCAACTTTGTTACTGATGTGCTGCTTGAAATTTTCCCGTCTGCCTCTGAAACCTCGGGAGTCGAAATGCTCCCTGTACGTTGCCCCACAGACACTCGGTATGCGCACGATATTGCTTTCCTGAGTTCAGATCCTTCCCAAATGCGAACAGTTTTAAATAACTTAAATAATCCTGCCGCACGGTTTGGCATGCGCTTCACACATGCAAAGTGCAAAGTGCTACGTTAAGACTGGGTGGGATTAAACCCAAACCTCATCCTTGCAGACGAGCCAATCGAAGTAGCAGATAAATTTATTCCGCTGGGCATCTGAATAAGCCCCAGCGGATTATTCATCCAATCGGAAGAGCCAGGACAGCTTTNTTGCCAACCTCGACGCCTATGGCGCCGACGTGGCATCGGTTTACCTATCAAGGGAGTGTTTGCAATAGAGCAGTGTGATCCAAACTGCCTTTTGGATAAGAGACGTGGCTCCTACGCGCCGAGGACATATAAGAGATGTTAGTATTTGGTCATTGGTGTCCCCGTAGCATTGGTCAGGTCTGGTGGGAACATCGGATTAGTAATGCTAAGGTACGCTAGATGGTCTTAGGAAAAAAGAACTCTCCCGCGATAGACGAATTACTCACGATTCATGGGTTACGGTAGTTACGACGTGTACTTCGTATGCCAGAGAACTGTCTTCTTCACAGAGCCCTCTTCGTCCAGCTGTCTTCTGGGCGGAAGTACGAAAACACAAACCACTAAATTTAGTTAGATCGGTAACTGCTGCCTCCCTGGATGGGGACCCAAAGACTGATATCATCGACGGTTAATGACGCTGGCAGAAATGTCCCAGTTGTGCAGCCAGTGGTCCTCGTGAATCAAATCTATCACCTCCAGTGCGTAGATTTCCTATTCCCAAAATAACTGAACATGTCATCGCCTTCAAAGTTTTACTGTGTCGCACACTGTCCCGTTTCTCGGTGATCGAAACTGTAGCAGCTGGAACCAATTCGCCTATGGTACACGGTTTGTAGCTGACAAATTGAATTGAACAGTAAACCAATACTGAACTGATAGTGAGCACGGGGATCAAGCATGGGCAATATGTGACAAGAGCTATACTAGGGGCGTTCAATGTTGTCTGTCCGACTTCTCCGATGCGACCAAACGACCACTGAATATCGTCCAGATCGCTAGTTCGGGAAACAGCTACCGGAAACAGCCGTGCCCAAATGTCAACTGGTACGGTCGGTGAAAAGATAAGTAAAAAGTGCGGCTCACTAATCCACTCGTAAAGACGTCGACTGGAAAGATGGACTGAACCTCTTAGCCGGCCTTCTGCAACACAGCCTCTGGAGATAATACGTACGGGCGAATGGAATGTAGACCTTAGTCGCCCGTCGGAAGAATAAATAAAGTACGAAATATCTCAACTGAAACGTGAGAGGGTACCAGGACTAAGCGGTCTCTATACAGCTCCCTTCGAAGAAGGCGGAGGATCTCTGGTGTCCCATCCAACAAAGCTCATTGGTGCAATATGGAGTGCCTGCAGAATGAGGCATGTCGGCAGTTATTCCTGTCTTCGACGAAGGTTGAATGAACAGGGAGAGACAGATTCGTGAAAACCAAGCTGGGTTCTCTAATGCGAGGTGCTCTATCGATCACACTGTCACCCTCCGACAGATTCCGGAACAGCGGCACTACTTTCAGGGACCAGCAAAGGTTGTGTTTCTTGACTTGAAAGCTGCATTTGACTCGCTGGGCCGTCAGGCACTATGGCAAAGTCTGTGCAGCAAGCCTCGTAAATTCCTAACCCTCTTTAAGGGGTTGTCCGCCAACTCCCACAGCCGTGTGAAGGTTTGCGGGATGCTCTCGCCTGAGTTCACCACATCAAATGCTGACAGGCACGGCTGCCTTTTTTGCCTTTCCTCTTCAACTTCGCCAACGAAAAAAATCGCTCAGCTGTAGCACCCTTTCGGTGCGTAGCTGCCATGCCACCAGAAGGAATCACGAGAGATGGGATACTACCAGGTTGCCCAAGCCTAGACAGGGGAAGTCGTCACAGATGCGATCATGAAATATTACCAGTCTGTAATACCTGTGGGGGCGAAGTGCTCCCGGAGCATTCACTCACAGGCATAGAGTATGCAGGCAATATAGCTCTTCTTGGATCTAACGTCATCGTAATGCAGACGATATCTACATAATTCTGCCTCATTGTTTGGCATGTGCTTCACAGCTGCAAAGCGGAAAGTGCTGCAATGAGACTGTGTGGGTTCGAACCCTAGCTTCATGCTTGCAGATGAGCCGATTGAGGTAGTAGACAAATTTGTCCACCTAGGAAGCTGCACCAGTCCTGGTGGACTACCGAAAGATGATATTTTCATCCGGATCGGGAAGGCCGGATTAACTCTCGTGAACCTGCATCAACTGTGGTGTAGGTGTGACATCAGCCTATCCATCAATTATCGAGTTTACAATGCTGTGGTGCGCTCCGTATTATTATACGGGTAAGAAACCTTGCTGCTGCGCGCTGAGAACACCAAAAGCCCTTCGGTGTTTGACAACCGATATCTTCGAAGCATTGCTTATACGAGCCTCCTTGGGAGCTTCAAAAAATGTCTTTTCGTAATGACGTGGGCGGCAGTTTCATCACATGGATACCCTAAATCTTCCAGCCATAGATTTGCACCGTATTGGAATGTACGAAAATCTAGCTTCTGTTAGAGATGCACAAGAATCCACTTTTCAGAAACAAGTACACATCAATATTTCAGCGTTGGTACTGATGCTCCATTACCGTCTGATTATGGGTTTATCCTGAGAGTTCATAAAGCCGAAAAGCAAGAGAAGTAGATGGGGTTGCTGCCATCCTACACTAATCCGGACACATTGACCAGGAAGGACGGCAAGAATGCCGCTGATATCACAGCTGGCAACATCTCAATCCAGATGGACAGAACCAATAGAATTTCACTCGGGAACGCGGTTCATCTCTACAGAACCTTTACTTTTCGGTGTCCTTCTGACCTCGTTAGTATCGTGCAGGTTTCAACTGCGTGGTTTCTGCCAATTTGTAGATGGCTTAAAAATTAGCACTCGTCTTGGCAGAAGACGAACCAGTTTGGACAAAGTACAATCGGGCCGTCGTAGTTGGTGGAGCCAGGCATTCCCAGAAGTGAAGTAGCTCCGCCACCGCCAAATAACCGTTTTCTAGTTCTTACTGAAAATAGGCAAATGTCAACCAGAATTAGCTACGACTCACGGATTAGCGCTAAAAACCAGAAGATCCTGATTCCGCACAGAAGCTTTTGAAATCACGCGACAACATAAGGATATTTTAAAACTCGGCGCTTTGACTTCCCGATACTGCAAAGTCAAGTGATACTATTCGCACGAGTGTTTGTGGCAGAAACCTAAACTAGGAGGCGAATGAATGCATTCATTTCAACAATATATGCGGATGATTCTAGTAGAGAGACCACAAAGGAGATGCACATGAAAATACCTGCTGATCCACCGTCAAAGCAAGCGTTGTGAACAAATCACGAAGTTCTTCAACGCTCTTCTCTAATCGAATAATGTCCGCATGTCGAGCCTCGATATCACATAGTGAGCGCTTGGCTGCCTCTGTGCTTGCCATTATCTGGAAAGAACAGTCAACAGGCACCATCACAGCATTGAAAAGGTGGTTGGAACGAAGAAACATATCGACACATTGAAAAATAATCCATAAAGGTATCACCCCTATCCCCATTGAACCTCATTCTCCTATACTAAGAGCTTCTAAAATACGGCCCACGGGAGGTATCTGGCCCGAAAACTGCCGGTGGCCTAAACTCTGAAACAAAGTATTCTTTGTCCGATTTTGTAGGAACGTCTAATATTTCAGCTCTTCCCACTATATTGAGGTCTGATTTGGCCTCTTACTGGTCAGTTCCACCGGACGCCCTGTCCAGAAAGAGAAAAAGAGTAACAGTTGCCCATCACAGGTGAAAGCCATATTTTTAGTCTCACGATCAAACTTGTGATCACCAGACACTGAAATAGAAAACCGCGCGAAGGAATTTTGAATTAAGCTCCTTCTTAAGGGAAGAATTTACGTCAGGAGTTGAGGGGTCTATGTTGAGAGTTGAATTAGCGGAACAAAAATTGTCAGCCCCGAAACACAGGGCTGTCTTGAGGTCTTCAGGTTCTCGCAACGGAAGACTAGTGGGTACATTAAGCCACCAAAAGCTGCAACGCTCCCCATTGACTAGGAGCAAATATGAAGTCTCCTTAAAATAAGGTCACATCCAAGGTGGTGATGCGTATAAACGCCGTGTCCCGTCCATAAAGAATGCATAACGGACCTAGGGTGACTGTCTTCTCTGTGGGAGATTCCCTCTTAATCAGAACAAATAAATCCCAGATGTTTTCTGAGACTACTTCCTACATCACAAAACAAGCTTCCCATTCTTCCACCCTTACTTTAGTTCCGTTCGAATTGTCTCAACTGCTAACATGATTTGCAAGAACCAATTCGGTTGATAAATTCTCGGATCACCGATAACACTAACCAGTCGTATAATGCTATAGTTTCGCGTTCCTGATTGGAAGTATCACACAACGCGGTGAATATCTTGGTAAGGGCTTCCACAAAAGTGAATGGATCACTGTAGTCGGAACGAGTTCAATCGGTAAGGGTGAAAACAAGTGGAGAAAAGTTAACCTCAACGAATGGATGATAAACTCGTGGGTGTGGTAAAGTCCACAAAAGCAGATAGCTCACCGCTTGCGTGAATATTTCGGGATTCTTCTTCTCCAACATATCTTCGATTTCATCCTCGGATAACGTCGAGCCGGCTTGAAAGAGTGCATACAATGTAAGCGTGATTGGTTACCAACAGCCAGCTGGTTACGAATCCGAAGTTTGCACTTATCTCGATACTCTAACTGGGACTTATTGTAGTCGTTCATTATGGCAACCAACTGCCGGGATAGGGAGGCATGCTGAAAAGAGGTTTAAACAACATACGGTGCGATCCTACCTGGGTAGATTTTACACGGTCTTGGACAGATCCCAACAGGGGCGATTTATCGGAGGCATCTTCGAAAGCTAAACAATAGGGTAGAAAATCAGACAAAGATACGTACTTTTCAAGGTAGCCCGAACATGAAGTGCATTGTCCCGTATCACTTTAGTTAACGATTGCAGCCGACGGTCCAATTCTACAAACAATTATTCTTTCTAATCATTGCAGACCTGAGTCTTGTTGAGGGCTGGCGAGGATGTCTTTCTGAATTTTTGTTGCTTCAGCCACATATCTTCGGAGTTCTTCAATTGTGTCTTGAAGTGCGGATGCCTAAGGAAATGGGCTATATCAGTCTGTCTACCTACCTGTTCAAGGAAACCTGATTTGATTGATGTGTCTCCTGTTCGGCTTTTGGTTTTGCTGTGGGGAAGCGAGGCACGCTTCTGGTTTGTAAATGGGCGTAGCTATCGAAAGGATGACTGAACTCACCTCCTGTAACTCCGGCAAACGGTCCTTCACCATCAGTGAAGTGCAAGAAAAAATCTGCATGGTTTTAGAAACAAAAAGGTATGTAGGTGAAACACTGAAAACACATCGAACGGATTCAGTTAGACACAACTTGCCAACAAGCTGGATAGGCGTTAGGCTGATGTTTTGATTACTTAGGCTGCCCGGTGATTGAGCAGCTTGGAAGCTTGTGCACACCGCTTATGCACATGCTGATGCCTCTGTGTGTGTCAGGCGAAGTTTCGCTTGCTTTCATTTCTAAGGTGAAACGATTAAGGTTTCCTTCAATTCTGGCAGAACTTCCACCTCCTATTGGTCAGTTGAAATGTATTTCCCAAAGTCGAACCAACATACTTAGACATTTACGTTGTAAGCAAGACTTTTTCAGCTGCTTTGCAAATCTGCAACAGTATTTACTTTATGCCCCGCAGACGATGTCTGTCTCGATCCTGTCTCGGCACCCAGGAGTTGATGTTGGTTGGATGCCCGGCTTTCAGGGAGTCACATTCCTAGTGCAGCGCCCGAGCAGCAGGTTTTCTAATTTGCTCAATTTACTTCTTTCAGCAGCATTCGCGATGCGGTTGCGTTGCCGAGTCGGGTCGACTGAACACTTTTTGGCTGTTGATTCTTGACCCTCCTAGCGCCTTCGCGCATCTTAGTATACCCTTCCGACATCCGTATTCTCTCCTACGAGGTTGGTCAGTGGATAGAAGTCCGATAAACACAATCTCCTGGTCTTCCTATTTGAGGGTTGGAGCAAGTGGGACAGTGTGTCCCGTATAATTGGGGCTACTCAGTTAGCCTCAAACAAACCACCGCTGCCATGCGGTCAGGCCTTTGAGCACAAGGCTCTACCTGGGGATCCTAATTATTCTTCTGTGGGTTGCAGCAACCTGACACTATCTCAGCTCACATACAGCTATCATCAGCACTAGCATCATCATCGACAACATAACATCAGTGTTCAACACTGATGCCCAGTTGCCATACAACTATGATTTGTTTGAAGGCCTTATTGTAAACAAAATAATAAAACAAGAAGGGGAAGGGACTTGGTGATTGCTTGCTGCAATCATTGCGAAGTGTCTACAGCTCGGACGAACATACACGGACCGACCATATCTTTCAATTCTTAATTCATTTCTTCTGATGCCCCCATCACGAAGTCCCCATCTAGAGAGACTCCAATGACTAGCAAAGCTATGTTTGCTGGTAAAAAAATAAAATCGTTCACCTGTAATACCCTTTCAGTGCCTAACTGCCATGATACCAGAAGGAAGCAAGAGGACTGGGATACTGCCAGGTTACCCAAGCTTAGACAGGGGAAGTCGAGATGCAGATGCTGGGTTCGAACGACGGACCTTCCGGTCAGTAAATTCGCGTTCTAACCACGGAGCCATCTCGCTCGCCCTACTGGAACTGGTTTTCATACCTCGCAGCTCGTTCACTGTTTGTCCTTCCCTGACTCGTTTCCACCTCCGCGTAGTTGCACAAAAATTGCTCTCCGAGGAAGACAGAGGATTGGCATATGCAGCACGTGACCAAGAAAGCACAACTTATGGAGTAAGACCAGTTCATCTATCGTGGGAGAGCTATTCATTCCGAAGACCATTCAATGTACTTCAGAGTTACTGATCCGGTGTTCACACCAGACACGGGCAATACTCCGAAGACATCGGTGGTCAAATGGCTAAAAGAATTATGTCCTCAGCGGGCGGCGGGCAGGTTCCCGACTTGTATCATGATATGGACCGCACCAAAGCATTGTGAACTCGACAAAGCGTCCGCGCACCCATTTCGAAGACAGGAATAACTGCCGACATGCCTCATTCTGCAGGCACTCCATATTGCACCAATGAGCTTTGTTGGATGGGACACCAGAGATCCTCCGCCTTCTTCGAAGGGAGCTGTATAGAGACCGCTTAGTCCTGGTACCCTCTCACGTTTCAGTTAAGATATCTCGTACTTTATTTCTCCTTCCGACGGGCGACTAAGGTTTACATTCCATTCGCCCGTACGTATTATCTCCAGAGGCTGTGTTGCAGAAGGTCAGCTAAAAGGTTCAGTCCATCTTTCCAGTCGACGTCTTTACGAGTGGATTAGTGAGCCGCACTTTTTACTTATCTTTTCACCGACCGTACCAGTTGACATTTGGGCACGGCTGTTTCCGGTAGCTGTTTCCCGAACTAGCGATCTGGACGATATTCAGTGGTCGTTTGGTCGCATCGGAGAAGTCGGACAGACAACATTGAACGCCCCTAGTATAGCTCTTGTCACATATTGCCCATGCTTGATCCCCGTGCTCACTATCAGTTCAGTATTGGTTTACTGTTCAATTCAATTTGTCAGCTACAAACCGTGTACCATAGGCGAATTGGTTCCAGCTGCTACAGTTTCGATCACCGAGAAACGGGACAGTGTGCGACACAGTAAAACTTTGAAGGCGATGACATGTTCAGTTATTTTGGGAATAGGAAATCTACGCACTGGAGGTGATAGATTTGATTCACGAGGACCACTGGCTGCACAACTGGGACATTTCTGCCAGCGTCATTAACCGTCGATGATATCAGTCTTTGGGTCCCCATCCAGGGAGGCAGCAGTTGCCCACCCGACTAGGATACTGCCAGGTTGCCCAAGACTAGACAGAAGTCGAGTGGCAGAGATCGGATTCGAAACACGGGCATTTCGGTCGGTTAATTCGTGCCCTAACCAGTTGCGCCATTTCGGAAAATCCACCAACCTACGCACATAATTCCAGAGATCACATCAGATGCTATAGATACCAGTCTGATACCACAACGGTTTTCACAGGACGTCCTTGCACCATTTTTGAAAACTCGGATGACGGTCGAGGAGCCATACGGTCGCCCCGCTGGTCATATTGTGTTTTCGTTCTAGGCTGCATGTGATTAATTCGTTCATCTGAAAACGCCTCCTGTGGGCTGTATTACTGCACTATCTCCTTGCTGTTCAACATCTGCGGGTGAAGTTGACTCACTGGCGAGCCCGAACGCGGGAATTCCCAGGTTCAGCGCCCACACTGCCTGTCACTGAGTCCCTATTTCAAGCTTGGTCTCATTGAGGGCTTTAATGTGAAACCGCATCATGACGGATCAGAACAGTTGTAAGTTGTGTGCAACAGATCCACGCGAAGGCTGCCGTGGGCTGTACAAAATGAAATGAAATTTGCAAAGTGCCGATAAGAAAAAGAATTGGGTTGCGCTGTGTTTCGAGATATCGATGGTGATCTGGCTTATTACTGTCGTTAAACCTTGGAATCTGATGTTCTCCGCGCTGGATTCCCAGACCCTTATTATTCGGACTACCCACCTAATCTTTAAGTGTCCTTCAGCTTCCCATGATCTGACTGTGTGTTGCTCAGCACCAGATAAAACGGAGAGGTTCGTACTTGGTATGTGCGTTCGTTCTTTCCTTAGTTTGAAAACAAGGTCTAGCTATACTAGATTCACTCATAGGATTTTCACCAAAGACCCGAGGATGCCTTAAATGCCATTCGGGTGTAACAGCCGCTAGGGGAGTGCTGGCAAGAAGATCACTTGGCCTTCCAAAATCGTCGGATGAATAGTAGATAAGAGAGAACCTTGCTTGGTATGAATACTCGACCACCTGAATCGCTTCTCTTGCTGCCCGTGGTTTTGTCTGTCGCGTTCAACCAAGTGATCTTGAGCTGATAAGTGAAGAAACGGTGCACCAAAAGGACTGACACGGTTGAAACTTACGGCCGGTGGAACTGAGTGACCGAAACTTTTGTAGGCTAACCCAACCTGTCCTCATCACCATTCTCCTCCTCATCGTCGTCATAATAATCGTATACAGTAACATCAGTGTTGACACTGATGCTTCACTGCCTGTAGATTTGGATGAACCGCTGCAACATTATAGCATCGGAGAATCCCCTCTTGATTCTGATTCGAACACGTAAGTCGTTTCACCTCTGTTCCGTCCTCAGATCATTCCTGGGCATGTTCTTATATTACACTTTATCCATGGCTATTCGGTTGCTTGTCGGTATTTCACCATGATTTAAATAATTGCTAGTTTGGACCAAATGACCCATATTGTAATATCACGTGAGCACCAACGCGGGGAAAACCAACCGGGTCTGGTTGACCCCAGTGTTGTATTGGTCGTGTCATATCAGGTCACCTGTGTGTACAGATTTCCAACATTAGTGGTTGTCATCCAAACCGAATTTGCTGGTCAATTGAACAAATAATAAAAATAATCATCTTTCAGCTGTTGCACCCTTTCGGTGCCCAGCTTTCAGGCCATCCACAGGAAGCACGAGGGCTGGAGACTGCCAGGTTGCCCAAGCCTAGGCAGGGGAAGTCGAGAGGCAGAGATCGGGTTCGAGCCATTAACATTCCGTTCAGTAAATTCGCGCTCTAACCACTTGGCCATCCCGACAAGCAATTGCACACCTACTCATATATGGGCAGCTAAAGCTGATGGTCTGGCATTTCGCGCAGAACGGAGTTCGCCACCGGATTGAAATCGATGGAAAAGGACACATGGATGAACGTGCAAGCTATCAGCAAGTCTTAACGTGATAGAGTCAAAATTGGAACTGGTCACTTAGTCTCGGCACTCTCGCGGATAATAAACCAGGTGATCCGCCGGAGGCCAAACCCGAACGTGCATTACGACCACGACGCCTGGTGGGCATGTTCCACGACTTGACGCTACGTCAACAACCTTCAAAAGGAAGGGCTTAGGCGGAATCCGATGCCAAAGTAGCCCTAACTCGCAATTAGGCACTGCTACGGCCAACAGCATAGCCTGCGTGGGATTGGCCAAAAAATAGACCGCTTGCCGGGCCAGCGTTAATTCGTGCTCTGATTGGTCGCAGATTTTGGCCCAACAGCCACTCACGATTCAGTATCTGTAGCATCCCGGTTGCCACGTCGCGTCCAGAGTGCGTCGGGAAGTTGTCGCCCCACACACTTTAAGTGTGGTATGCTTTACATTTGTTTATGGCATTTAATACAATTTATGCACCCTTGGTTGTTCTT